GAAGAGCGATGATGGACGCTCATGTAGCTCTGTGTATAACGATCAGGGTAGCACTGATCTAACAGCTGGATTGAGTCAACCTGAAAGCTTCTATGAGGGGGGCTCAGAAATATTTCAGCTAAAGGAGGATGAGGGGAAGGATAAGAGACACAACCCACAGAATGACCTAATGTTGAGTGACTCAGAGAGCTCTTCAGTTAAGGATCTGGAGTCTGAGAACTATCTAGACAGTCACATGATAAATCTGTCAGGAGAAAATTCAATGGTGTCAGGGCCGAGTCAAGGTCAGAGACAACTAGAAAATGTCCTGAAAGTACATTTGAGCAAGAAGTTTGAGGAAATCTATGAGGGTCGGCTCCCCGGGACTGTGCATAATTCATGGCATGCTATCAAGCAGACACTGACTCCTTCTGTCCAATCTCACACTGAAATGAAACAGAGAAGTTCGCAACCATTAGTCGGTGGAGACCACTCCCCGAATACCTCCCAGGAGCTTTCCTTTGTTGGGTCCAGTACACGGCAGATGCTGGAAGCCCATATTAGAATGTTTCATATGAGGATGCTGTGGGGCCTTCCCTCCAAGGTTCTTGAATCCATTGAGATTTTTAAATCAAAAGATACCTTATCCCAGTCCTCATTCCATTCCAAACTTTTCTCATCAACCAACCTGATTTCTGATGTGAATTCCAAATCTGGGGGCTTTGCACCCCTTAGAGGAAGCTCTAAATCTCTCCATGGAGACAAAGTGGGAATAGCAAATTCAGCCCCTATCCTAGATCGTCCTCTCCCTGAAACCTTGCATAAGAGCAAGGAAAGACAGGAGGCCCTGAGATATCCACCCTCTGATATCCACCATGGGCTTACAGAGAATGTTCAGAGAATTACTGATGCCAGACAGACTTTTCTGTCTGTCACACACAGTGTCATAGGCAAAGCAAGTCAGAAAGAGCCTCTTCTAGTCAACAGATGGCTCCCAAACCCGCCCACAGGGCCAGCTGGGGCCAAACATGAGCCAAAGGTTAAAAGTGTGAGTTCCAGTGATAAAGAAGAAATGCAATGGGGCAAAAAGATGGAGAACAAATCAGAACCTGCTCCTATGCCATACGTCTCCAGGGAGATATTCAGGGCTGAGACCATCGATGATCTTCAATCAAATACTTTTGACATCTTGACAAGCAGCGAGCTGGGAATCTCCCAAAGGATGAATGTGAATGACAGTAAAGGAGAAACTATTGTTACCACTGAAAGCCCCCCAGCAAATATATCAGTTCTCCAAGATTCTAAATCAACAGACCTTAAGAAACCAATCCTCGGTGAGTTAAAGTCTACACTGAAGAACGGGGTGCATAGCCAGACCCAAGGCCAAGCCAGTGACATGTCCCTTGACTCAGACAGCTCGACCTACAAGACCTCCCTGACTCATGCTCAGGGTGTCTCCAGTGTGGACATGGAAGCTTCCCAGGTGCTACATGTCCATTTGGAGGACAGAGGAGTCAGTATGGAGCATCAGCAGAAGCCTTTGGTCCCTAAGCATGACTTAAGGTGGTGCCAGGATAATTTCCCACCAGCAGAAAAGCAAGTGAGCCCTCCAAGCCCCAAATCAGAAGAACTTGGTGGAGGAGATGCAGGGCTGGGGTCATCCCAACCTAGAAGGAAGAGTATTCCTACTCAGGACATGACATTATCCCAGACCCTATCACAGAGGGGACAGTCTCCTGAAAGCCTTTTCAGAAAACAAATTAAGGGCTTTTTTCAATGGCTTCATCCTAGGAAAAAATGCAAAATGCAAGAAAATTCCCAGGAAAAGGGTAGCCCTATATCATCTGCGCAGAGCAGAGGCCCAGATAAAAGTAGAGTTGCCTTTCCTGCGACAAGCAAAGCTCAGAAAGTCACAACAGACACTAGGAAGTTCATAGAGGCAAAACTGGGACATCGCCATACAATAGCTGTCACCTGCCCTCAAGAACCCCTTCGCTCCCCAGGGACGTTCAGAAAAACTCAGCAGAACATGGAAGTGTGGGCCCAAGCAGGGCCTGTCCAGGGGCATCCTTTCAACTGCAGGGCTCCCTCTTGCAAAGTGCCAAATACCAACTCCCGCCAACAAGAAGCAGCCTTTGCTGACCAGAGCTCTTCTACAGGTATTAGACAAATCAGAGGCAAGGGTAGGCACCCCCAGAAATTTGTGGCATTTAAGGAGCAGCTATTATGTCAGAAGCACCCCCAGTCTGGGCCCTGCAAGGAGACTGTGTTCCATCCATGCCCCACCTGCAGGCCTCAAGCTGGCCAGGAGCCTCTGTCTGAAGGCACCATGTTCAGAGGTCAATCTCTACTAATTAGACACAAAATACCCCAAAATTTCCAGGGAAGATATCTTCCCACCAGCAAATAATTCCTAACTTGTGGAGAATACTGATTCTTCCCCTAATAAATGTTTCTCTAATAGTGCTGTCTTTTCTGTGTACTGTGTTGAGAGCATAGTACTTGGAAACTTGGTCTTATGCTTAGGGAGAAGAAAGAGTTAGTTCAGCTCTTACTGATTGCTTCTTTTGGCTTCTAAAAGGTGACCAGTCCCCTAGAGCTCCTGTTGAGAAATAGATATCATGTGCCTCCCAAAGCTCATTTCTTCCCTGATGAAGTTTGAGAAGATGGGCTCTGTCTCCTGCTTCTTAGCTTAGCCTTAATGAACATACATGGCAGCCCACACCTTCTCCCTCATGGAATGCTTACATCCTTTAGGGCAATAGGGCAGACAGGACTTCTACATCTGAAGAGGGTTAAGGACAGGTATATTTTTCAGAAAATATCAGTGAAGACACAGTGGCTTACTCATTATTTAGAAGTCAGTGATCAGAGGATCCCACAGGTGGGCGAACCCTCAATGGGAGTATTTGGGGGGATATTGCTACAGTGGATACTGGGCTGGTTGAAGAAGGGTCTAGGAATAGTATAGATGCTGCTTAAAAATCTATCTCATGGGTCATGTTAATGTGTTGGGGAAGCACATGTTAAACTTGACACTGCAGTTTCCCTATTGGAAAGTCACCTTGGAGAAGTGGTTCCCATCTCTGGGTATTTCTCTTCAGAATGACAGATGGGTAATATTTCTTTTGTTGAGCAAAAGCGTAACTTGGTTGTCAGTGATAGGGATGTTGACCAGACAACCACCTACCTCTCAGAGTAAAGTTGAAATTAAAGAAAAGATGCCTTAAAGTGAATGGGAAAGTAAGAAGAAATGAAGAAGAGAAAGGAGGACTTTTCTGGTGGAACAAAATTATATGCCTCATCATTCCTGCCCTGTGCCCCTGTCTTGCTCCCAGCTTCCTCAATCTGATCCAAACTCCTCCTGCTTGTGGCTGATGAGAGCACTGCACAGCTTACTGATACCTTATCCCAAAAAGGCTTAGGGCTGTTCTTTGAGTAGTAAAACAATATTTGCAGAGATGTCATCAGGCGTGGCATCACTGTCTTTGGGGAAGGTGCCTTCCTTCCATCCATGCTTGATGGAAATTTACATCTCGCCTGCGGTGTGTACAGTTCACCTATCAGGATGTGGGTGACACCTCTGATATTTATGGCTTTGGTGGAGTTATAATAAATCTCCCCCAGAACACCTGCAGCTCATGAACCAGGTAAGTTCCAGAATTACAGCTATTTGCGGGTTCACTATGGACCTCCATGGAAAGCTTTTTTGTGTGTGAAGATTGCATACATACCCGCCCTTACAATAGGAGTCTGAAGGAAAGGCAATTCCACTTGTGCAGACTGGGACTCAAAAAAATATATTGGATGTCCTAGAGAGCACTAGAGGTAGTTTTTCTAGTAAGACATGTGAATTCTGCAAAGACAAAAACAAAACATGTCTACTTCAGCCCTCTCACTACACACTTGTATCATCTTGTTCAGAGTTATGTCATTGACTCTATGATATCTGAAGCTTGGGGTTACAGAAAAAAAAAAAGCCAATTTTGTGGAGGCCCTGGGAGGGACAAAAGGTGGGATGGGGCCCAGGACAGGGATCTTGAAGAGATGAGAAGGCAGGGCAGGGCTCTAACATCCATGTGGATTGAGCAGCCAATAACCCAGCCTCCCAGTTCCTAAGTCATCTCATTTTAGGGTCTGTCAATACCATTCCAGGGTAGTTATGACCACACTGTAGAGCTTATTACTAGGAACGCTTCTGCCATCTGGAACATTCCACCATTTCACTTCATCCCCCTATCTTTCCAGCTTATAGGTAGGTCCCTTGTTAGTTTTTCAGTTCCAGATCATTTTTCCACTAACCCCTTATCAATCCACCACAGTCCTGTCTTCCTCTCTCTCTAAGGTATACTTGATGGTCTATAGGGTAACCAACATTTAGAAAGCCACATGACAAATGGGCTCCTTCCAGTCTCTTTTAATCCTTCCCACTTGGAAAAATGTCAACTGTTGTGTTTTTCCAGAAATTCCTTCCTCAAAGTAACTGATCACTATTGGATTAAATTTCACAATGGAGTCTACTGGTGCCTGGATAAATTCAGCCCCAGGACTACCTGGAAATCATTCATTCATTCCATAAGTAATTATCCCATGCTTACTGACATATGTGGAGGTAGGCCACAGTTTCCTTAGTCCATTCTCTCTCCAATGCTACTTAAACCTATTTCAAATTTCCTTTACTTTCCTCAAACTGAGGCCCTCTCCACTTGCTAAACAGGTGTGCTGGACCTCTGTTCACAGAGGAACTAGAAGCCATGAGATGGGAAGTTTTCATCAAAACTCTTCAAAAAAACACTTTAACATTCTTCTTTTCCTTTTTCCTTCCTGTTTTATGGAAAGAGGTTTCCTTCCTAACATCAAAGATTAGGAAATCGCCTTATTGAGAAATAGTCACACTCTAGTCTTGAGGGACTGATGTGCTCTTGCACCCTTGCCAGGTGTTTTTTTGCCCCTTCCCTCTCCTTATGAGACACTCAATGTCTTTTTTTTTAAGCTTGTTATTACAGAAATGTTTAAACATATACAAGAGTAGACTGTTCTATCTTGTACATCTTCCCATGTATCCTCTGCCAACTTTCACAATTATCATTTGGCATGTGTGATATATCACATTTTTTACACTACAATAAGGTGGAAAAGCCCATTGAAACATCTAGCCTCAGACAATGTTATGTGCCCATGTTAAAGCTTTAATTCTGTTGATATTTATCACCTGTGGAACATACTTATATACCACAGATGTAAACAGCACTGGTGACAAAAAAAAAAAATGTATTGAGCTTTATAGTCTTTGGCAGTCAGTTGTGCTCTACCATTTAGTTGACCCCAAGAAGTCATTTGAGTGAATTTTTCCCTCAACTTCATATAAGAAGTAATCATACAGAGCAATCCAGTGCACAAGATTGCTATTGCTCAATCACACAGTAGCTATACTAACATGCAAACAGAAGAGAAGTAGAAAACTATACATGTTGATAAAGACAGCATCATCATACGTTTTCAAATATTTTTCGTGTCACATTAAAACGAGCTATTTTGTTTTGAATTAAACACAGTAGATTAAACACTCTTATCTCCTCTGCTTCCCAAAACGCCATGAAAAGTAAAAGATTAGATGAAAAGACGCTCAACATTATTAGCCACCAGGGAAATGCAAATCAAAACCACTATGAGATAGCACTACACACACAAAAATGGCTAGAATCAAGAAGTCAGATAAGTGTTACTTAAGATGTGGAGAAAGTAGAATCCTCATATACTGCTGGTGGGAATGAAAAATGGTGCAGCCACTTGGAGAAACAGTCTGACATGTCCTTAAAATGTTCAACATAGAGTTACCATACAACCCAGCAATTCCACTTCTAAGTGTACACTCAAGAGAAATGAAAACATATGTCCGCACATAACTTATAAACAAATGTTCATACCAGCATTATTTATAGTAGTCAAAAGGTGGAAATAACACAAACGTCCATCAGTTGAAGAATGAGTAAGTAAATGACATATGGTATATCCACACACTGTAATATGCTTTGGCAATAAAAAATATGGATACTGCTATAACACGGATGAACCCTGAAAACATTATGCTAAGCAAATAAAGCCAGTCACAAATGACCATGTATGACCCCATTCATATGAAATGTCTACATATTGAAATCTATAGAAGTCAACTAGATTAGTGGTTGCTCAGGGTCAAGAGTAGGGCAGAGGGTGCTGACAGCTAATGGTTACAAGATTCCTCATTAAGTCATAAAAATAATTTTTAACATTGACTTTGATGAGGCACATGTCTGTGAATGCAGGAAAAAGCATCATACACTTTAAATGGGTGAGTTGTATATTATGTGCACTAAAATTTCAACAAGCGTTTAAAACAAAAGATTTAAAAATAAGTGCTTGAGAATGACAAGAAGGGGAGAGGATAGGACAAAAGATATCAACACTTTCTAGAAAATGGAAATCTGGTGGTGGAGTGGTAAGTGACTAGAACAGAGGGAGTGCTGACAAACCCATTCACACCTCAAAACCCCAGAAGACAAACGACCTGGTGGCAGCAGATAAAAAAATTAGGTGTTCCATGCTGTAAACATCTTGAGTTTGTTTGTTTTATATTGTGTATAATTTTTAAAATTTTTTTTGGAGGGTAGGGGGGTACTCTTCTGTATTTTGTAAAATCCTGTGTAAATGCTTTGAATGTGCAGAGGATCCTAGGTTTCTTGTCTGAGCCAGAACCCAAGACAACTGTTTTAAAGTTCCTGAATATTGAGAATATATTTCATTCATAATGTACTTTCTCCTTGAATATTTCATTGTATATGTTTTTTAAAATTCAATTACAGTCGACATTTAATATTTCATATTAATTTCAGGTGTACAGCATAGTGATTAGGCATTTAGATAATTTAAAGTGACCCCCTATTACTCTAGTACCCACCTGGCACTATACATTGTTATTACAATACTATTAGCTATAGTCCATATATTATACTTTATATCCCCTTGACTATTTCATAACTACCAACTTGTATTTCTTAAATTCTTCACCTTTTTCACCCATTCCCCCATGCCCCTCATCTGAATCATTATGTATTTCTTAAGAAAAAGCAGAGTGTCTTATAGACAGTACAGTTATTCCCTTCAATAAGTTTAACATTTA